GTCCTCTGTTTGGGGTATTCATGTTACCAGCTTGATTCTTTGAAAACTGTTTTTTATTAGTTTTAGGCATGTCCTATAACGAAAACTGCAGTACACATACACAGTACACATACAGCCAGTGAGTCCTGCTCACCTTAGTCACTCGCTTGATCTACACTTTTTAAGAATTGAAGGATGAAAGTGTTTTAGATCATTTTACTCACTTTAACGGGATTAATCACTACCTCCAATACACAGTGCATCCATTTCAACAAAACCATCTACTTCATAACTCAATAACATACATTTTCACTCATTTTTTTGATGGCTCGATTTAAACCCGTCCTACATGGCGCCTTGACCTTGACCTTTTTGATTTTAATCACAATAACAGATACAGCAGAACAAAATAAAAACATTTTATTTTTGTTAATGTTTACACGTTTCTAATCATTTAATACCGTTAAATTACATCTCTTAATACCAATATTAGGGAATCCTGTGTTCTAAAATGGACGTCATCTCGCCTACTATGACGTCATAATGTATCACTGATTTAGTCAAGGTAAAACATTTTATATGCCTCCTTTATTACCCCTGACTTTAGTAATTTTCCCTGGTGGTTGTAGAGTTTCATAATTTTGTCATCTCCACATGTCCACATTTCTTCATCACTGAGACAGTTAACTCCGTGTAATCTATACCCAGTGTCTATGGTGGTGATGAGATCTGGCTTATCAAAGACTGGTTTGATTGTTTAGCCATGTTCTTGTGTTGAAATTGATAATGCTGACAGAGAACCAAACATTTGATGAAGCTGTTCTGTGTTGATCATAAGAGGAGTGAAACTTGGTAATGCCACATTATGGTCAGGAGGTAAATCTCTGAACTCTGCATTTCTGGAATTGTATACATAGCTTAGGAAATATTACTGGATTCCAGAATGTTCTTCATATCAACAATACGCTTTCTAACATCAAAAGTACTTTTTCCTGATTATTTAGAACAGCCAGGTGTTTCGTTTTTGCCTTATCAATCTCCGATTTCTGCTTGCTGACAATGATGTTAATATTCTGTGTCAGTCTTCTCCTTGTTTGATGACGGATGCTGTAAGTTTACTATAATGTGATTCCAAGTCGTCTTTTTTACTGTTTTATGCTTGACCCAATTCCTTCATATTTTGGGTGAATTCTAGTCTTAAGTTTTTTAAAATCTTTTTTATGTCTTTTATTTTTGTGTATATTTTTGCAACACATCTGATAAATTATGTCCCTTATGTTTTCCTGAGGAGATGCAGGTAGAACAGACAGGAATGTCACATTGCTCACAGTCAAGTTCACAGTTTCTGTAATGTTTTTGACACTTTGTGTATTCAGGAGTTAAGGTTCTTTCTTTATATGGTACGACTCTATGTTTTTTGGTTGAATCAGAGAGATGCTCTCCTACACAGGCCTTAAACAGGTTGACATGACAAAGCTCACAGTGACTTTGTACCATATGTTTCTCGCAGAAGTCACACCTAAGGATGTCTTGAGCACTATACCGGGGGTCTCTTACTGATATTTTGTCATGTGCCCTTGTGATACTGCAGTAAAATGGAGAAGAGAGACATGATGATTTTAGTACAGCTGATTAAAACTCATAATATTAACTTTATTATGTATGACAGGTACTGATACAAACAATTCATGAAACAATAAGTTGTTTACAATGGAAGGAAGACAATCGATACTATCAATTAAAAACGACTATTTCCTCAAATTTGAATGATTTTAAAATAATTATATTGCGGAAATGCAAATTATCAGACACACATATGACCTATTTCAAAGTCATTATTTCCTTTGAACTCATTACAATTTAAATCAATGAAATCTGAAGATTTTTTTAAAAAACAATAATTAACTAATCTGCATAATTAGTAACAGCATATTACTTAATAACAATAAAAAACAGTTTTAATGTACCATGCCCCACCTGTAAATCTAACATCATCGCTCCTGGACGACAATTATACTCCATAGTTTATATATGATTTGTAAAGATAACCAACAATTATTATACCAAGAGACCAACTGTGTGTTTAGATCAGTTTTTAGTCATATGATTTAAATACATGTACTTTTTTATTATAAGAATTTTAATCTCTCTCAAATTGTGGGGCAGCTTAGATTTCAGGATGTGAAATTGTGTGTTGCACTCTTTCAATAAAACATTTTTTAATTTGATATATTGTGGGGTTTTTTGAGTTAAAATTAATAAATATGGCCTTTAATCTAGCTAGCTCGTATCCATTTAAACTGAAAACAGGAAAAATATTTTATATTCTGCAGAATTATTACGATCGGTAATTATGTAAAGTGTCGGGAAAATGAAAATAATGTCAATAGTATGGATATATCTCTATTTATAACCGTTTGTGGTATTTTCCGGTGATGGTTCCAACGGTGATTTGCCGTAACCATCATTCAAAAATGGGAAGTTTACAAATGCAAGGCGTGTAGACTACACATTAAGTGGTTTTTATTTTTGTTAATTTTTTATAAATCACCAAAATAGACCAAAATTATATCTCTGCCAAAATAATCGTCTGTACGGTAGTTTAAACATATAAATTTTATTTCGTTTCAGCTTTATTATTTGAACTATGGCTATAGACACTATAAAGTTAAAATTAGTAAATTACTTAATTTTGACGTCGCTCCGCGCCCATTTTTGCTGTTCGAAATCTTTGTTAATTTTTATAGATATGAAGATATACGTATTCCAATTTCTAAATTAAATTTATTCGACTTTGTTGTGAAAATACGTGTACAAAATTTTGACGTTAAATAAAAAAAAAATAAGAACAAAAGTCTACGAACCTTTCTAATGACTCTTGTACATTTACCTTTCCTCAAATGATATTCATTAACCTAACTTTGGCCTAACCTTATTAGTGTTATATTTTTCCAAACTTGCTGCATTTAATTTGTAGTCATTTTTTAAATCAGGGGATCTTATTTTTCTTCCTAAATTGGAGAGTCTCATTGTATCTCGGTAGACGGAATCATGGACGCTTGTAATTGACATGGACTTCAAAACTTATTTTTTTAATTTATGATGTAATTCTGCAGGTAAATTTAACAGTGATGCAAAGTTAATACTTTCACCATATGACCTTTTATGGGATTTGCAATGTTAAAAATCAATGGTATATAAAAAGGTCGCGCTTGATATGTCTATACCTTACTACATCCAGTGTAGACGATTATCACCTTAAAATCAAGTGAAATTGGATGTATTGTAGCAGATTTAACATGGATGTCAAACTTTCAACCAACTGAGAGGATCCTATATGAAGAGGATATTTTAAATAGAATATGTGTTGCGATGTTGTGAACATATTTATACCCATTTAAAAACAAAACATTTTATGAAAAGGCAAAGAATTGTTTATAAAATATTTTCATAGCTACCCATGATTTCCCCTTAAATTATGTATCTAGACATGGTCAAAATAATAAGAGCCTTTATCATCCAAACTTACTTTTATTTAACAAATTTTGAAGTTTTTCATTTTCCTCAAAATGCACAAAACACGGTCCACTTAATAACTTAAATAGATTCAACACAACCAACCTATCAAATACTTGACAGTAAACTCTTATACAGAAAAAAGAATTTCTGTATTTTTTTTATCTCGACATTTGTCAGCCATATTGAATTTTAATTTCGGCACAATTTCCTACGCATGCCCTGTACAGGGTGTAGACGGTGTACACTTAAAGTGTGCACTTTTCACTTGATTGTGGTAAAGTATACACTGGGTGTAAAGTGTAGACAAATAAAACGGGCCCAAAATAAAAAACGGCAATGGAAATTTTTAAAATTTTGTTTGATACGAATAATTTTTTTTCCAAATGATGTTCCATACTTTTAAGTTTTAAATCAACACAAAAGTCAACATTTAGACAACAGCAAAAGAGTCCATCAACAAAAAGGATTTGAGCTCTAATCCGAATTTAATATGTGCCGCGATTCAATAGAACCCGCGATTTTATGAGAATTAATGATAGTAACTGTGTTTTGTCTTAAAATCAACAGAAATTCAAAACCTTGTATAAGGTACATGTCCTACTTATAATTTGACTTGATTAGTCCTAAGTCAAACTACTTTTAACTCTCACATTTTGTCTCAGTGCATAACTAAATCTTCGTAATAATCATTTCTTGACATAATGCAGTGTTTACATGTATTTGATTTTCTTCACTTTACCACTGGTATTCTCAGCCACAAATAGGTTGTCTCTGCTGTCTACGCATAAACCCCATGGACTGTCTAGATCACAGTTATCAATGTAATGGAGGAACTGTCCGTCCTGATCTAGGATGTGGATACAGTGGTTGTAATAGTCTGCTGTCAGGATGTGACTCTGACTGTCTGTTGTGATGCCGAGTGGATAAAATGATCCCTTGTTAGAGGAATGACCAGTGTATCTAAATCGAAATTTTCCTGCCTGATTGACCACGACTACTGCTTTGGCCATATTGTCGGCCACACAGATATCCAAATTTCTGTTCTCACTGACATATGTAATAGTACCAAATAAATACAGAGGTTCGCCTTCACTATCAAACTGAATGGTTTGATTCTCAATTGAGCCAGAGTAACGGACAACTTTTGTGTGTGTGTCATCATCACTGTTCATGGTAACCAGTAGGTCATCAGAGGAGGTAATATAGACAAAGAAAGGCTTCCACCCTTGTAGTCTGATCACTTCCTGTGTCTGTTTATTCTTCACTATGTTTACAGTTCTTGTATCAGTATCAGTATAAACTAGATCACCGCTCCTAGTCACCGCTATGCTACGTGGGTTAATCTTAGACTTGGTTTTGATTGACGTCAGTAATTTACCCTTGAGGCTGTAGAGTTTCATGATTTTGTCATTTCCATGTGTCCATATTTCCTCATCATTCAGGCAGGTAACACTGTAAAGTTTGTCATACCCAGTGTCTATGCTAGTGATGAGCTCCGGTTCATCAAGAAGTGGTTTGATTGTGTAACCGCATTCTTCGGTTGTAATCGATAATGTTGACAGAGAGCCAAACATTTGTTGGAGCTGTTCTGTGTTGATCTGATGAGGAGAGAAAGTTGGTAATGATACGTTGAGGTCTGGAGGTAAACATCTGAATTCAGCATTTCTGGATTTGTAAGCTGAGGCTAGGGATACTTCATTGGACTCCAGTATTTCCTTCAGATCAAGTATGCACTGTTTCACTTCTGCAGTAATGTGTTTGATTTCCTTTTCCTGTTTATTTAAAACAGCAAAGTGTTGAGTTTTCATCTCATCAATTTCAGATTTTCGATTGTTGACAATGATGTTAATTTCTCTGTGCCAGTCCTCTCCTTGTTTTGTGACAGCTGTTGTCAGTTTCCTGTTTTGGGTTTCCAAGTTGTCTTTTTTGGTTTTCAAGCCAGATGCAATTTCTTCATATTTGGGGTAAATTCTAGACTCAAGTTCTTTTAAATCTTTTTTTAGGTCTTTTATTTTCGAGATAATGTTTTGTAAAACATCTGATAAATGATGTCCTCTATGATTACCTGAGGAAATGCAGGTAGAACAGACAGGAATGTCACATAGGTCACAGTAAAGTTCACAGTTCTTGGAATGCTTTGGACATTTTGGATAGTTAGGAGTTGAGGTTCTATCTTTATATGGCACGACTCTATGTTTTTTGGATGAATCAGAGAGATGCTCTCCTACACAGGCCTTACACAAGTTGATATGACAAAGATCACAGTGACATTGTATAACATTTCTTTCACAGAGGTCACACCTAAGGACGTCTTG